AGTGTCAGAGATGTCCTCCAAGGCTAGCAAAAGAACAATGCTCTTTTCTCTTCCAAAATCCAAAGAGAAGACCATATTAGGAAATGTTATTTCTTAGCAGCAGGGGAGCTTAACCAGAATCACCTTAGATGCTTTTAAAATACAAATGCCCTAACTAGACAGATGCCAAAACAAAATCAGCCAGCAAAACAATAAGAGAACAACGTGATAGGACTAGCCCTACAAATATTAAAACACTACAAAAAGCCTCGGTAATTAAAACACAGAGTGACTGGCAGATGAATAAACAGAAGAAAGGAACAGAATTGAAAGTCCAGAGGCCTCAGAAATGATAAAAATGGCATCTTAAATTAAGGAGTAGGGAGAGGACGGAATATTCAGGAAAGATGGGGGTCAACTGGGTAGCTTTCTGGGGAAAAAAGTTAGATCCACTCCTCATACCCTATGCTAGGATAAATCTAAATGGATCAGAGATTCAAATATAAAAATCAAAACCCTATAAGCATTGGAAGAAAAATGGGAGAATACTTTTATAATTAGAAAAAGCCTTTCTAGGGGCTGGCCCCGTGGCCGAGTGGTTAAGTTCGCGCGCTCCGCTGCAGGCGGCCCAGTGTTTCGTTGGTTCGAATCCTGGGCGCGGACATGGCACTGCTCATCAGACCACGCTGAGGCAGCGTCCCACATACCACAACTAGAAGAACCCACAACGAAGAATATACAACTATGTACTGGGGGGCTTTGGGGAGAAAAAGGAAAAAATAAAAAATCTTAAAAAAAAAAAAAAAAAAGCCTTTCTAATTAAAAACTGTAAGATTTCAAATTTGACTATATAAAAGTAAAAAATTCTGCATAGCAAAAAAAAAGCTTAGATAAACTAAGAAAAAATTTGAAACATATCACAAAGGGCTAATTTCTTTTTTTTAATTTAAATTTAAATTTTTATAGCAGTAACATTGGATTATAACATTATATAACTTTCAGATGTACATCATAATATATTTGGAATTCTGTCTAGATTACATCATGTTCACCATCCAAAGACTACTTATAATCCATCACCATACATGAGCCTAATCACCCCTTTCACCCTCCTTCCTCCCCCTCCCCTCTGGTAGCCATCAACAAAGGGCTAATTTCTCTAATACGTAAGGAGTGCCCAGAAATTGATAAAAGACCAAGAAGAAAAATGAGTAAAAGATATGAATAGACAGTTCACAGAAACAATGCTCAGCCCCACTCAAAGTAAGAAAAATATAAAGTAAAACTACAAGGAGATAGTTTAGATGTCAGATCGTTTACATGAGTAAAAGATATGAATAGACAGTTCACAGAAACAATGCTCAGCCCCACTCAAAGTAAGAAAAATATAAATTAAAACTACAAGGAGATAGTTTAGATGTCAGATCGTTTACCTATCAGATTGGTAAGAATCCAATTACTTGATAAACACACTGCCTTGATAAAACTAAGGGGAAACAGGTTCTATAGATGTTGCTGATGAGAGTAAACTGGTATAATCCCCCAAGAGGGCAAACTGGCATTATATATCAAAATTACAAATGTATATTCTCTCTCACTCAAAAATTCTACTTGTAGAAATGCAACTTACAGGTATACATGCACATATGCAAAATAAATGTATATACAAGATTATTTATTGCAGTATTTTTTTAAAAAAAAGTTTGAAAACAACCAGATTGTCCATTAATAGGGACCAGCTAAATTAATTATGGTAATCCAGACAATGGAATAATATGCAAATATTTTCTTAAATGCAGAAATTCTTTGTGTATCAATATGGAAAGATTTCCAAGACATATTAAGTAAAAAATAAAAATAAAAAATGCAGAACAATCTGAATATGCTAACATCTGTGCAAAAAAAGGAGGGGAAAAACAATATATATTTGTATTGGATTATTAAAAAAATCTCTGACAGGATAACTAACAGCTAATACTAATAACAAACTAAAAAAAGTAATTTGGGAATGCACGGGAACTCAATAGATGGAGAACAGTGTAGGAAAAAGACTTTTACTGGATACCTTTTTATGTTTTTGATGTTAAAAACTTTTTTTTTTTAATTCAAAGAAGTCTTTAAAATAAAAAATACAGATAACTAGGCTCCATTCTCAAGGAAACTGATTTTGTAGTTTCAGAGCAAGCCTAGGCCTATATACTGTTTGTAAGACCTAAGAGCCACTGCTCTAGAATTTCCCAAGTAAATCCTAACAGCATCCTGCCTTTTTTCATGGCATTCACAAATACTATTTCTGGTCTTTGTTTTATGTTTTATCGTTAACAGAGAGAGTTTTGGTAAGGAATACATTAATAATCCTAAGGGTATCTGGAAGCTAAGAAAGAGTAGACACAATTGCAATAGAGGTCACAAAACATTTCCAAAATATCTGCCTTGTCTGTCATCTCAGCAAGCAACCTACAGTTCTCTTTTCTTACAATAAATGCCTTTAGCATAAACACCTTTCATTCAAAGCCATCTGCTCTTCATGGCTGTTCACTTACGTCATAATTTTGATTTGCCTACAAGGCTAGGCAAATCACAGGCACTAATTTGTGGCTTTAAAACCATAGTTAGACTCTTAATTACCAAGAGTCAGGCTCAATAAAGAGGAGTCATTTCGTGGATTGTAAAAATCTAAAAATCTATCACAAAGAATTCTGTAGTCAACAGTTTACGTAGAATCATTAAGTAAGTAATCCCAAAAATCATCCATACTCAGGTAAGGTGGTGTCTTACTATTTTTCCCAGGCAGAGGCAGGGGAGGATAGATATGTGAAATACACCTGCCCTAATTCTTATCAGTGATGGTCAGGACATGGATCTTAGATAAATCATTTAAAAGATCATTAAAGCAAATATCAAAAGCCAACAGGATGCTTATGATCTGTAAGAAATATTATGTTGGCCCTTTTCCTAACTGTTTATGGAAACTTCATCCTTACTACACCTCATCATCTTACTATAATCATAAATGAAGGCAAACTATGCAGGACATATGGCCTCAACGAGAGAGATCATTCTAAGCAGGAAGGGAAGAGAACTACTATTTACTTGGCAACTGCTATGTGCCAGGCATTATGCCTTACATTTCTATATTTAATTCCTTATTTGATCCCCACAAAAACTCAATGAGGAATATATTTTAAACCCCAAACTGAATCTCAGACAGGTTAAGTATCTTACCCAAGATCACAGAGCTGTTAAGTGAGAGAGTCGATAGAGCCAGAAATGTCCATCTAACTCCAAAGCCTATTTTTTTCTACTACATTCAGATACCTCTCCTAAATAGGAGCATTTAAGAAGTATAGAAAGAGGTAAATATGAGATAATTGAAATGCATTTGGCAAGGTGAAACCTCTGCATTCATCCAATCAACAGACATTTAAGAGACAGCTATTATGTCAAGCACTGAGCTAAAGTGTACATGTCACACTCGAACAAACTGAGAGGTGAACACTTAACGAACCTGTCCCAAGTAACATGACTGTTAACTAAAGAGAAGGTTAGACCTCAGACAGTCTGACTCCAGGGACCATGCTCTCAGCTACACTCTACTGCCTCTCTAAAATTCAAAGCAAACATGAGTGAAGCATTAATGCTGTCCACTGCAGTGAAAAACATCAGGCCATCTTAATTCCACACAACAGTCTTGACAGGAGACTGCTGGTTCAGTGATTCCAAGTAATGATGAAAAAGGGAAATATCTGTTCTTTTCTCAAAGCAATTTCAGTTTTATGCACTTCACCTGGATTATGGATAGTACTAAGTGATAAAGACTCTTAACTGCTTTGAAAATAAATATTACATTATATTTGTTTAATGCTTTTTAGGTTTTCCAGAATGTTTTCACATGTTACTATAACCAATACAACCATCAATAGCTTCTCATCTTTATTCCTAGAGAAAAGGTCAAAAGTCCTGGTATCTGCCTAAGATCTCTCACAGCTCTGCCTTTCTAGCTTAAATTGCTACCAATCACACTCATAAAACGTATGTTTCAGCTACACTATTCTCTGGAGAGTCCACCTTTGTTCAGGCCACTGTACACGCAATTCCCTTTGTCTGGAATGATCTTCCCTATTACTCGTCCGACAAATTCCTACTACTTTTTCAAGAGCTGGTTCAACTATTCCCCATGAAACCTTCAGCTCATTAAAACTATCACTCCCTTTTCTATGACCACCAAATCCTTTCCCATACATCTCTAGCAGAGGATTTATTATAATTATTCATGTGCTTTTTTCCCCCAAAAGACTAACCTTCCTGAGAGTAGAGACTGTGTCTTTCTCATCTTTGTATCCCTGGTGCCTGTTGGGTAAGTCAATCACGAGGACGTGACTGGCGGCTGACTCAAGATCTGGACCTGGGCAATCAGAGGCTTCTCACCCCTCCCCTGTCCTTGGAAGGTACACTCTGCCTACCATTCCCACAGTGGGAGCTGTTCCAAGGACACAGCCTTAGCGAGTAAGGTATTGTTGAGACCATCTGGACTGTGGATGTGACTAAATCCAGTTAAAGCCTCTACATAAACTTTTAAGAATCTAGCGGGCAGGTATAGAGACCTACTTGTCTTGCAGCCGCCCAAGACAAGCCTCATAAGTAAGTTCCCTTGCTTATTAAACCTGCCACCTCCAAACCTGGAGTGGGCTGCCTCTCTCTTCTATTTCTCCTTGCCCTCTGTGAGTATGGGGGCCAGTTTACAAACCAACAGTGCGAAACTAACAGACGGTATTCAGTATGTATGAACTGAACAAAAGAATGAATTACATAGACTACTAAACTGGGAATTAGAAGCTATAAGTACAAGTCCCATACAAAACGCAAAGTTCATACTTCAGTTTTCTCTGCTGTAAAATAAGTAATTTTCAATTCAATTCAACATTTATTGCAGTGACTAGACTTCCCAATCAGTTTAACAGATGGAAACATTCTGAGAGTTCTTTAGAAGGTTCACAAAAAATATAAATAATTGTTATTACCTCCTCCATCATGTCGTCCTGTGTGGCTGAGATTTCTCCTTTGGTTGCTCCACTGTGTACCAGGTTCCGCAGTCGTATACAGAATTCTCTCATCTATGACAGAAACGTATTCAGCACTCCAAATGTTACCCTAATTCAACTGTAAATGAGCCTAACAGACCAATGCTGGTCTTATTTTGAAGTATAACTCAGCCAAGACCCAGGCCAAAGTTTGTAAAAGCAAATGTGTTTTTCCTCGACCAGTCCACTTAACTACGTAACTAAAAACACTTTCCATAAGAAGAAAAGACATGGATTACTCCCAAGGAATACTAGATGGAACTGCTCCTGTTCTGCAGCTAATGGTACCCTCTGTAACAGAATGTGCTGGGTATAGGGAAAATATCTGATTCCATCATGCCTATCACCCTCAGAAAAAGCAGGAGACTGAAAACGATTATGCCACCAAATCACTCTAACAGATTTTTATTTAGAATTTTACTGGTTGTCCACTTTTCCTTCTCTGCCAAATCATTATAACCACGGCTACGCCAATCCCCAATATAGTTTTCATTTTTGTTGTTTTCAATTTTGAGAGATACCTAAGATAAAGGTGAGTTTGAAATTTAACCACAGTGCTAAAGAGGATCTTGATCCCATCTGAAATGGAATCCAATGCTATACTATTAATGATGTTTTGGCCTAGAGAGAAGAATTCCCAGAGTTTCCTGGGTGGAAAATAACCTACTTTTAATATTAGGGAAACACAGCTATAGTTTATTTTAGAATGTAATCTTTCTCCCAGGGATGACAAATCCAACTTTAGCCTCATAGATCAGACAGCAGATTCCAGCAACTCCCAGTTCTAAAAAAAGATGTCTAGCTGGCAGAGCAGCATCTCTATAGGATTCATAATCCTCCCTGGGAACACGGGTTATGTAGAGAGTGATCTATTAAGATAACTGAAGCAATACAGAGCAGTTCAGGGACGACATCACATCCTTAGTGAGCGGATAAACCACCCTGATGTGGTTTGGGGAAGTCTCTGAACTCAGCATACTCTTTAAGGAAATCCTGCAGACAGTTTTTTTGGTACACAATACCGAAGTGCTAGTACATAAAGCTGCCCTAGCCCACCTCCACTGGGACCAAGTGAGAGGCACAGTACCCAGTGTGCTTGTGGCCCGAATTAATTGAGGATGCGATGTTCTTTCCTGATAACCCATAAGAAAACATTAAAATCAATAGAAGTAAAAGTGGAAGATTTTAAAAAAGAAAAAAACATCCTAATCTCAATTATTTTTGAAGTTAATATGTAGCTACAGTGTTTTTGAAAGACACTGAGTAGCCACCTTGTACATAAACTGTGTACACTGAAATGCCCAGGAATCCCCCTGGAAAATCCGTTAGGAGGTTTAAGGTAAATGTCCTAAACTTAATCCCACCCTGCTCCACACGCGGTACCTTGTGATTCAGAATATCATTCATCCTTCTGGTTGCCTCTGTTGTGTAAGATTCAGGGAAGCATTTCTTAGGGATAACACCATATTTTTCTAAAAGAAAACAAATTTTAGTGTTAATAAGGTAAAAGTATATTCTAGCATTAGAAACCCTGGCAAAAATAGCTATTGCTTTAAAAAATAGGCCACATTTTGCTGGACTAACTCAGAAAACTTAACAATCTTATGCTTCATATTATTAGACAGGTTATTTAACTTGTATATTTATCCATCTAGTTTAGGATTAATTCTATTCTTTTTATCTATCATACTTTGTAAAGTGCTCAGCATGATGAAGTTTTCCCAAAAGACAAAACTTTTTTGAATGAAGACATTTTCAAACAGTTGCAGTTTTATGTGTTTCTTAATTACACCAGGACAAGAGATAAGCTTTTTCATAGAAAGTTAGTCCTACTTAATACAATTTTTTCTTCTCCAACCCACCCTTCAGAGTACCTGTGTCTGTACTTCTCACTTAAGAAAGGTACTTTATACATGAGAATATGAGATAAAGGTTCTTACAGCTAACTGTATACCCTTCTTGGAGACCTATTTTACTCTGTACATAACTACCAAAGAAATGGCCTATGCCTAACTAACTACAGAGCCTTGCTTGATCATGCTGAGTTTCAGTTCCCTTAGAGAAGGCTCTTACCAACAATATTGACAAGCATATCCCATTGTCCACCATCATTTGCAGGATTCGTAAGCAAATACTGTACCAGCCTCCCATCTTCAGGCTCCTTTTTCTGGGCTGTGTCCACAAAAGCATTTAAGAAGAAATAACAACGTTCAACCTAGAGTAAGAGAAGTTAAACAAAATTAAAGGAAAAGAAAGCAAATACCTTCATTGACATTATCAATAGAACAGGAGCCTTGGAACTACCATAGACCCAACATAGTAGAGTTTTTTTTTAATTGAGTATATCGACATAACATTCTATTACTTTCAGGTGGGTTTTTTTTGTTTTTTATTGAGGTATAATCGACATAACATTATAGTAGTTTCAGGTGTACACAGTAGGGTTTTTAAAAAACTAAAGTTGGTAATTAAACATCAATATCTGTGTGTATACATTCCAATAGTTTATCCAAAACAAGGCTTTGCTTCATTTTGAAATAAAAACTGATACGTAGAGCCCACAATTAATAAACATCTAATGGACACTTACATAATATACATTTTAAAGATTAAAAAATGGAGTAAAATTATTTACTGTTTTTCAGACAAGTACTACCTACAGAAATTAGATCCTAGAAAGACCAAATAAGCTAAACAAAGATGCTAAAAGAGGAAATTATTGAAAACAAAATTAAAAATTTTAAATAAGAAAGAAACAAGAAAGCAGCAGGTTGAGTCAGTAGGCTTATTATTTCATTGCAAAAAGCACCCATCTACCAACCAAAAGCAGTTCTGCCTTTGGAAAGAGTCAATTTTTGATACTTTAGAAATCAGAATAAATGGTATCCCATCTAAAATGGAACGGCAGACAACAATGAAAAACCAAGAAAGGAAGAGACAGTGCCTACCAAGGTTAATATTGAAACAGAAAGAACCTTGCAAGATCAGTCCCATACCTTGTCCCAGAAAAAGAGGTAAGACTGACTAAACTCAAATTCTTCAATATTTAATTTTTTCATGAATGGAAGTCTCATAACATTCAGACAAGAAAAGATCCAGCATCGTCCTGAAACAAGAAGGCAAACCAAGAAATTATGACAAGTGTTCACACAGATTACACTGTTACAACTGTATTTCCCAACACTGAACTGATGAAAAGGTCTTGCAACAACTTCAGACTAAATCAGAGCAGAAACATTAAAAGAAACCAACAAAACAAGAAAGGTAGTAATTACTATTTGCAACATATATGCAAAAAATATATGTTAATATTCTTAACATTTTTTAAAAAGTCTCTTTACTTATCACATAAAGAATCCATTACAAATCACCAAAGAAAATCACATTAGAAAAATAAATGAGGGGTCAGTCTGGTAGCATAGTGGTTGAGTTTGCTGGTTTGGACCCTGGGTGTAGACCTACACACCGCTCATGAAGCCACACTGTGGCGGCATCCCACACACAAAGTAGAGGAAGACTGGCAACAGATGTTAGCTCAGGGTCAGTCTTCCTCACCAAGAAAAAAAAAAGAGCTGGAAAAACATGAGCAGAGATCATGAATAGATCATTTAATGGCTAAAAAGACACAAATAGCAAAGAAATATCTTTTAAAGTTCATCATAAAACACCTGTTAAGTTGGGAAACATCATTTTTTAATTGATAATGCCCAATATTGGCAGGGACTTGGGGAAACAACGTTATTATATACTCTGGATAGGGACATAAACAGGTACAAAATATCTGAGGGCAATTTGGCAATACATGGCAAAAGCTTTAACAAGTCCTTCCCTTTCATCTGGAATATACAGTATATGCTTCAATATAAGGTGACCCTAACATAAGTCAATCCCCCATTCTCCCAATGACAATTCCAAAAACAAGTTGTTTAGCTAACTAGGTTACATAAACATTTAAAGATATAGATGAAATAGTAACATACACCTGTATTATTTAACTTAGGAATTTAAATATACACAGATATTTAAAACCATGTTAACATAATAAATTGATGTAGAAGCATTGTTTTTTCCACTTTCACAGGTCATTTTCACACTGATTCATTCTCTTCACATGCATTTTGCCATTGGTGCCTTTGCCATTATTAGATCCACTCTTTCAATCAGAACACATCATCTTTCTTCCATCTAGTATGTCTGAGTCACGGCAATGTTTTGAATTCATGCATGACGCTGTCCCTGAAAATTTTATGCCAAACCTCAACTATACAATTACATTCTTCATTTGTCCTGTAATTGGATAATCACAAACTCCTCAATGTCACCATCTCCTGTACTGACTGAAGTGATCTTTAGAAGGCGTACTGACAATGATATCCAACATTTCCATGTGAGGTCATGTCCTAGGAATACAGTGTGTTCAAATTTTTCACCTTTTTAAGAAACTAATTTAATCAAATGATCTCTATAAGCATCCAAAGCTAGCATAGACTGAGGTCATTTCAGAGTAATGTCTGCCAAATTATACTCTGCTTCAAAATATATTAACTGAGAGTGCTCATTATGAGAGTCTCTGGAAAGTCTCAAATATAGGGTAAATCTCTCTTTCCTGAAAAAAAATTTAGAGAGAAAAACTTGGCTTTATTTGTCCATATGTTTTTTACCGATAGAAAAATACATTCACAATATATTGGTAAATAAAAAAGGTAGGTAGCTTATCTAACAACATGTAGGTACCCACCCGTATTAAACACACAAACGCACAGAATAAAGACTTAACAGAAAAAATACTTACTCGGTATTTTGCAAATATTTTACATTGAGCAACAATAATTTTGTAACAAGAAAAACAATTAAAAATAAGGACTGTTTTTCGAAAGTCACTATGACTTAGCATAGCTCATCTTTCCCATGTGGATGCCACCCCTCTCACATACATTACATATTTCTGGTAAAGGGAATCTGCTTGAACTGTTAATGTGAAAACTGCATGAAAATAAACTACACAGCTCATGTGTTATTTGTATCTTTTGTAGATAAAAGTGACAATACAGAATATATAAGACCTGATCTGTTCCAAATGAACATTTCCAGGCTTTTCCCTAAGAGGTCACTGTAATCTAAACTATGTAGGACCACTGCAACATTATTAACCGGATCACTTATACCCTGATGGTCCATACTACCCCAAAAACCTTCTATTATGGTAAAACATTAATTATTGCAAGGTCATGATTTTCTTCCGTAAAATTTAAAAATCAACTTCTCTGAGGTATAATTTACATACAATAAAACACGTCCGCGTTAAACATACATTTTAAGTTCTGTCTGCCTCTAAGCAAGCACTGATCTGCTTTCAGTCAAAATTAATAGACTAGAAGTAGTTTAAAAATGCACAGACTTTAAAAAGTCCTTTTGGTACAATTTTACTGTGAGAATACTCTCCTTATTTAGAGTCTTGGATAACCAATCTTCCATTGTAGCTGTTTTTCTGACAGTGGTAGCAGATAGCAAAACAAGAGCTCTTGACCAGTAAGGCATGAGAACTGAATTTTTTTCTGTTACAAAAAATTGGTCTATCGGTGGGAACCGTGCCCATGAGCACATATGCTCAAGCTGCAACCAAAAAGCATACTTTAAAATAACACTTGATGACATTTTTATGCAATTACATTATGTCTTTTCCATTTTACAGACTTGTATATGGCCTTCAGGACAATTTTGATGTTCTCTAGAGCACCAACATTTTGCATGGTCTGCTTTGTACCAAGAGCATATATCTGCAAGACACGGGCCTGCAATCACATAACTTCAGCACAGACTTTAGTGAATTACATGCAAACAGATGACCGTAGACTTGTCACTTTAGTGCTCAAATCAAATATGCTAACGAGCCACAGAGCACAACACAATTCACAGAGTAATGTTCTTGAACCTGCCTTTACTCGACACTGTTCTCCAGGAATTTACTGCAAGTTCTTTCAATACAAACCTCTGTTCTCCTAAGACTGTTCTTAAGACACCAAAATAGGATGCTGTCAAGAAGATGAAGTAAAGAAGATGAAGAAAACATGAAATGCAAGAATTAGAAGTCTCACGACCTCACCTGAGCTCTTCTGGTTGGTGACTGGCTTGCCTTCTTGCGGCACAGCGTGCTGGAACACATGCTGAGCACCCTGTACCGTGGCCCTCTTCAGACAGATGTCCAGCAGGTCGTGGGTAGTCCCGACATTCTGGGCAAGTACGAACTGAGGGTCGGAATTCAGTTTCTGGATCACAGCAGCTACCTTCTCCGAATTCAGTCCTATTGGAAGACCAGATGGGATTATAACACCAAAAAGAAGCTGAAGAGGGCTGATCCTGGACTCGCACATCCTGCCTCTAACTTCGTAAGAGCATCCTCAGGTGATCATAGCAGCGGAGCAGCCCTCCCCCGGCATCCTCCCCCAAGATGCCCTCTCTCTCCAGGCCGCTCCAGCCCGCCCAGAAAGCCCCATTCCCGCCACCGTCCCCGGTCCCAGCCCCGGCCCCGGCCCTGGCCCTTCCCCGCCGCGGGGCCCGTGGGCTCAGCTGAGCGCCCACCGAGGCCCCCGGCAAACGCCGGCGGGGCGGAGCGCGCCTCACCCGCGCTGTTCATGGCGCCCACGCTGCCCGGGAGGGAACGGTAGTTTAGGGGGTCCTCAGACGAACGCCGGGGTTGTACTGCAGCTCGCTGTCCGGCGGCCCGACCTGCCTCTCGTACCCCGAACGCCGGAAAGAGGAAACCGGCTCCAGGGCCGGGGAGGGTTGAAGCCGCGAGAAACGGGGTCCGCCGAGGGACAAAACTCCCCCCACGCGTTGCTGAGTCAGCGCCTTCGGGGCTGGTCCCGCCCACAGGAGGGCCCGCGGGGGCGGGCTCGTGACGCGCTCCGCTTGGGCGAAGCCGGCAGTCCGCCCGCGAGGCGCCGGCGCCCTGGACCACCCTGCATCCGGCTCCCTGGCCGGGCGGGCGCCCTCCCGGGATCAGGACCGCTCCGAGCGGGGGGCCGGAGGGGTTCCATGCTGGGCCCACAGCCTGAATACTCCAGCGCTGGGGCATGACCCCATTCCGCCTTTTCAGAAGCCGAAAGGGGACTGGAGGCGGGAGGGTGGAGCTGAGGAGCCGCAGAATTAAGCACAGGGCTTAGGATGGGTTGACTCGTCGCAAAACATGTAGCCAGAGGCTCCTCCTGTAGGCCTCCTTTGCTGACCCATCACTGCATTTTCAATGGCAACTTGTTGCTTGGATTCTAGTCAGAACCAAGTTCTCGTATTTGAGGGGAAATTGGAACCCAGCGCTTTCCCACTTGCTTAGAAGCTACTAGCACGGTTCTACAAATAGACATCTGCTCTTTTCAAGAAAACTACCCATTCTGGGCTTAATTAATGGAGTCGGTGAGTCTTCTACCTGGCCCAGCATGTACTGTGGGGTTTAACCAAGGGGAATGACAGGAGTCGGTCTCAGGCATCCATACGGTTGTGCCAGGCCCTTTACAAAACCTGCCGATGAGCGCGCCCGCCCTCGCCCGCCTTTCAAAATAACTCAGCGTTTCTCCAAGGTTTTGAAATTGTGAAGCCCTATTATATTGTTTTTCGTGCCCTAAAGTCTCAATCCTTAGTGAGATGTTGGGATGGGACCCAAACATGATAAATACAAATAAATCTAACGTATCCTTGAAAACCCTGTCTCCACTACTCAGAACAAGGAGAGTCTTCTGTGGAACCTAGAATCTAGGTCCTAAATTGAAAATAATCACTGGTTCTGAGAAACTCTAATATCTGGAAAAATATGCACTCAGACACCAATCAGTCATTTGAGAAATCACAGTCTCTATGTCCATAGAGAGACCTAGCTAAAGTTTGGGGTTACGATATAGCAACTATTTCCAACAGGGCCGGTCAGCTGTCCCATTGAGATTCTTCTGATTTCTGAAGAAAAGGAACAGGCTGAAAGAAACCATTAGTCCTTTCATAAAATGCTCTTCAAGTATCCTGCCCAGTTCAACTCAAAATTTTATTCATTGTCTACCATGTACCAGGCACTGGGCAAGCTGCTGATGATAATGGAGACTAACAAAGCTTAATCTTGCCCTTAAGAAATTCACAGTGTATCGGGAAAGAGATGCAAAATAACTTTGGACCGTCTGTACAAGCATACCAGTAGAGCTGTAGAAACAGTGAGGAAAGAGGTGTTAATTAGGGCTGGAGGAACCTGAAAAAAGAGGTGACAAGTGAGCACAATCTTAGAGGCAAAAAACAGAGTAAGGGCATGCAAGGCACCAGCAAAGGCACAGAGGCATTGAAATACATGGCAAATCATGTTCAAGAAACTGTGCAGTATAGTCTGATGTGGTTAAGAGCAAGGACGGTGTCGAGGTCAGGGGCAAGGTGTAGGGCTGGAAAGGTAGGTTTGGGCCAGGATGTGAAGGGTTTTATAGGCCATGCCTGAGCGTCTGGATTTTACTAATGGTTAATTAGAAGCCAAATAGGTTTTTAAACAAAGGAACAGTATGCTCAGTTCTGTGTAAAGAAAGAATCCCATTGGGAATGGGGAGGTTGACTTGAAGGGGAGAGATTCTGGAGAGAGACAAGCTAGTTAGAAGGCTATTCCAGTAAGTAGTGCACCTGGGGAGATGACAAAAGCCTTAAACTGTGGAAAGGGAAGAGGCACAGAAAAGTGAAGTTTTGAGTTGAATGAGAGGATGAATGGTGGCATCCTTAACCAAGAGAGGGAGTACAGAAAAATAGACATATGTGGGAGCATGTGAGTAAGCATACAATGAATTCATTTTGGGCCTTGGCAAGTTTGGGGTACCCACAGGACACCCAGGAAGAGAAGTGCAGGAGGCAGATAAAAAAAATGTCTAGAGATTAAATAAGACACATGTAGGTCTTAAAAGCCTGAAAGTCAACAAGGTTTCAGAGGGAAAGAGGGTAGAGCAAAAAGGACATGAGAACTGAGAATAGTACACTGGATGGCAGCATGCAATTGTACAGGGTATTCACGGCACAAGGGTACCAGGCTGAGTGGGGAGAATGGAGCCTGAACTCCAGTCCAAGCTCTGCCTGCCAAGCCATGCACCTGGCCCAGGGCTGTGCCCAGACTATGGTGCACATTTTACTACTTCTTACAAGGATGCCATATGGGGAGTACCATTAACCTAGGAATTTCAGGAATGGGTGAAGACAGAGGAGCCAGCAGAAAAAGACAGTAAGAGCAGTCAGAGAGGTAAGAGAAGACCTGGAGTGTTATGTCCTGGAATCCCAAGAGGGCAAGAGAAAATGTTGAATGGGACTGAAAGCTTCAGAAAAGCTTGGCAACTGGGTCAGTGGTGACCTTAGAGAGGGCAGCTTCAGTGGAAGGGCGGGGTGGGTGGAAGCCACATTGCAGTAAGTTGAGAGAGAAGAAAATATCAGGGAAGCTCTGCCCTCTTTGTCAGGGTGGTACCCTTAGTACCAGCTTTCCACCCAGCAACTCACACCCATACACTCAGCCCCATGTGGGCATGGAGAAGAGGCGCAGAAGAAAACTAGTTTCCCAATCGGTCTGCTCCAAATGACCTACCCAGGAAGACATTTCCCCAAGAATAGAATTCTTAGGACCTACCCCTCTAACTCTATCCAAAAGAGATGGTGGTGGGTTCTGTGACACCTCATGGAACAAGGCAATCAGAAACAGAATTCTAGTTCGAAATCCACAATATTAGAAAAGAAAATCTTTATAAATCTTGTGAAGTGGCATCACCTGCCATTGCAGATATGCCTTCGGCCTATTGCTTCCATGGGGCTCCTCCCAGTTAAAGCAAACAGGTCCAGGCTCAAGGCAAATTCTCCATCCTGCCTCCCCGCCTTTGCTGTCCACCAGTCTTTGACATATGTTGGCTCACTGCTACTACTTTGATGGAAAAGTCCAGATTTTTACGTTCGGTGAAGTCTGAACTAGAATCTAACACAAATGTTCTGCAATTCTATGAAACCTATTCACATTTAAGTGTTGTTGCCCCAGTTAACTCTGAGATTTGCTTTGGTTGGAAAGCCTCCTGATATTTCACCAGATCTGATCTTGAACTTCAGAGTTCACATGTTGGTGTCCTCCTGGGCCAAATTCAGCTCCTAGATGTATTGTTTGGCCTGCATGATATTTTAAGCTTTTTGAGCCAATATTTAGAATTGGAAAGGGTTGTATACAAATCTGGGTTGCTGTTTCCCTTGAAAATATTGTTGTTTCCCCATAATAGCCCTTTCTCCATCAAAAGTGAAAAAACAAAACACATATCAAAGGGGCCTGCATAATTTTCTTTATATCTAGCTTGCTTCACTCATTTACGTTTATTGCCTATAGATATTTGAGTTTTTCAACCCCTGCTTTAGGGTGACCTGGATGAAGTTTGGGAGGACCACCTCTTTCCTTCTACCCTCCTCCCTACCCTTAACCCCAGAATTCCTGCCTCCCTAGGATTAGCAAAGCCAGCAGGAGCTGACTGCTAAGGTTTTCAGATACTGGATCCTGGGACTTTGGGGGCCCAGAGGAACCTATATTCCTTCACTACAATTTTCGTAGTGATGTACGTAAATTGTACCCATCTGAGTACAGGTAGCTGTCAGCTTCAGGACTTCTACCTTCCCTGCCACTCCTAAACTCCATGTAGGCTTAATCCAACCTTTCCCTCCCTTCCTTCAGATTCAGAGTTTGTGTTCGACATATTCCATGTTAGTTGTAAATTATGTCCATTTTTTTTGAAACATTGTCCAATGTTCTGAAACAACATTGTTATATTGGCAATCTTATTCCTACCTCTGGATATGACATTTCTGCCACTCACTCACTATTTTAGGTGCTAGCAATTCACAGAGCATTCCAGGCAGAGGAAACAGTATACACAAAGGCAAAGAGGCATGAATGGGCTTGAGTGTGATTCAGGAACAATGAGAAAGTCTGGCCAAGTTTTGTGAGTATTTGAATTATGCAAAATTGACATAGTTCATCATAAACTATTAATAACATCTTACTATATGCACAGAATTTGAAGCAATGTGAAGCCTTCACAATGTTTAACATTTGTCAGGAACTGCGTACTTTCCAAGCTGGTGATGGCTCAGTGAATTAGAAACTGTTTATGCTATTGCCACTTGGCAGAGCCATTTTAGCTGGTAAAATAGTATCTTCCCATTGATAAATTTACATTTATTGCTAAATACTATGGCTAAATACTATTGCTAAATAGTCTTGAATTATGGACATTTTTAATTTTGCATGAAGGTTTCAGGAATGTATCTCTTGCATAAAGTTCAGAATAGGAACAGGCAGCACCCAACAAGGTGATAAAGAACCCAGCTTCTTTCTGGCACTGGTGTTACCGAACCTGAAGTGAGTTCGGTCACCTGTTGTGCAGCAAGCCAATCTCTGATACCGGGTGTGGTGGAAGAAAGTAGGAATTTTATTTTTGCACAACGCTGAGCAAAGAGAGAGGGCAGCTAACGCTGAAATCCCAAACTCCTCGAAAAGCTAAAAGGAAGGGTTTTTATTTGGGGCTTTAGGTAGGGGAGGGGGAGCATATGGCCTTGCTGGTCGGAGCTTTCCCACCAGCCTATATCTCTTTGCAGGGAGGAGATGATCCAGGTGCTTGTCCTTGACAGCGTCTGTCTCCATGGAGGATAGTGGATTCTGGAGCCAGGAAGCCAGAGGGTAAGCAGGGAATGAGTGTTTTGGTTTTAACCCCATATATGCTGGGTTTAATGTGGGGAAACTGATATCAGGGTCGATATCACTGGGATCTGCCACCCAGTGTTAGCACCATCCTT